GTGGCAGCGACGGCCTCCTTCCACCTGTTACCACGCGGTCACAACGGCGGGAGCGGTGTGCGCCGCCGCCCCTGAACAGCTGCAACGAGCGTCAACCGCTGCTGAAAGCGCGAAGAGCCGGTTGGCAGAAAGCGTTGGCAGCAGCAAGGCGTCGTCGGCTCTCGGCTGAGAGAGAGGTCAGGGCCGACAGCGCCGCCACTTCTTGAAGGTAAGACTCCAAAGTCGTCGCATGACGAATCCTCATCCTCCACATCAAGTCCTGTATGCTAAGCCCCTCTCTGTACGCCCTGACGGCCCCTCCTCCTCTGAGACCTCCTGGTGTTAACCGTAGCGAGCGAGGCACGGCCAACAACAGAAGCAACTCATCCCAGCGTTTCCGAAACGAAGACGGGGAGCCTCTGTAGAGAAAGTCTTCGGGATTCGGGAGGGGCGCGGCTCAGGACATGTTCCAAGAAAGCTCCAAACTCGAGATCTTTGATGCAGATGTGTTGGGTCCGTCCTTTTCCTCTGAAAGCGGTCGGGGAGCGGATGGCCATGAAAACTCCGACACTAGGCTCAGACATAGTGTCCGAGGGGAGCAGCAGGTCTTTCCGCTGGGCTCGTAGGGGCTCGCCCGCTCGAGCGATGCCAAAGTAAGCGAGGCCCAGAACAACACACCACCGATACCAGCCTCGGAGAACACCGAGCGCAAACATAGCCCTGAAGATTGCTTCCGGTGTAGGGACCCGGTGTCTAACCGGATGCACTCGCTCCCATCTGGACAACAGGTCCCAGGCTAGGGGCAGACAAGGCCGGAGCTCCAGCCTGTTCTTTTGCATGTAGGCCAGCAGGTGCCTGTAGACATACATCGGCCCTCCACTGCGAAACAGAAAGTCACCGTAGGCTCGCAGCAGCGTGCAGAAAACCATGACGAGCGGAATCGCTTAACCGCTCGCTTAGCCACTCTGCAAACCCAGCTAGGACCCGGCTCTGAAGCTTCGCCGTGGTGTCAGTGACCAACGCCACGTCCTCGAGAGAGTCCAGCTTGACACCCTTGAACTGAGGGCCGGGGTTCTTAGCTTCTCCAATTCGAGCTCCAGAACACTTGGCACAGGCGTTCAGGTCGAGGCGTCTCCTGGAGCTGGCGGGCAGGCTGGGGTTTGACAGGAGTTGTGCTAAAGCCGAGCTCACCTGTTTCGGGTAAGCCTCAGCAACCTTGGTCCATTGTCGACGGTGAAGACTCGAGTAGCCAGACAGCCGGCGATGCTGAGCGCAGCCTGGGCATCTGACGATCTGTCCACCGAAGGAGCTGCCGACAGTCCTTTTCCTCCACGAGGTTCCGAAAGCGCAATAATCTAACAGCGGTCCTTCCCAGATTTGTCGAGGATCTCCTGCCAGGCGGGAGTCCGCCAGAAGTAGCTTCCATGGGGGTTCTCAACCCACACGGGCAGGCGCAAAGCTTGGAACTCTTTGACCACCCTCGCAGTGAAAGCTGCGCGTCTGTTCCCCTCGTCGATTTTCGGCGGCATGGCCTCGCGGGATCCTGGAAGTCCAAGAGGGAACTCGTTGCTGCGCACCGGCGGGCGGATGGCTCGAGAGAAAGACGAGCACACGGGCCCGCCTCCTCCCCGCAAGAACGCTCGATTCCGGATCAGAAAGAAGATCCTCTCCTGTAACTGGGGGTCCAACAGGTCCTCAGAAGCACTCCTGGCGTAGTCTAAGGTCAGGACCCAAGTACCGCTCTTTTCGGCCAAGGCGTGCGCGACTCCTCAGGAGCCCGAGTAGAGGTCGAGGTAGCCGGGCCGTTGTAGTGCTTCGGCCCGCGTGCGCTTGTACTTCTTAGGGAAAACGTACTGTTCGGAGTCAAACTCAAAGAGAAGGCAGACGATGCCGTGGGGCAAGTCAAGAACCTGCCCGCCGCCAAACTCCTCGACGGCAACGCTCTGCTGCTCTAACCTAAGCTCTTTCCCTGCTACCAACTTGTCACCTGTGTGCTGAGGCTCCTCCAAATGGGAGGGGCTCAAAGATTTGAACTTCTTATAGACCTCGGAAGGCAAGTGGAATCCAATGCCGACGAGGGTCGCGAGGTCGCGACGAGGTGCCTTGAGGAAGTCGCGGACGCTGTAGAGGACAAGCACAGTCCGCTCTCCAATCCAGTCCTGGGTGAGATGCCATCGGCGAGGGTCAAGGCTGACCGCGCCGTCTCGACTGACCAGCAATCTCCTCGAAGACATCGCCGTCTTCGTCGGAGACCCACACTTCACCTTTTGAAAACGAGCTCAGCTTCACGACCAGGGTTCGGCTCCCCTGATGATTGTGAGAATCTCGGTGGGGGGCGCAAAATCTGCTGCGTAGGTTGAACCTGACGGCGGGGGCGATCAACACCAGCATCCACAGCTCAGCTTCGAGAGCGGGCCAAATGCGGAAGGCCTTGTGGTCGCTCAGCCATCGCGGCACCTTGAACACCTCCTCAAGCAAAGACATACATCTTCTCCGAAACTGAAAGATCGCGATAAAGAACCCGGCTATGGACGCCAGGATGTAGCGAGCGGCGGCTTTGGTCCTGATGATGTCGACAGTGACTGACAGGACAGCAATGAGCCGGCTCGTGAGGGGCCTGCATGTTCCGACGTCTCCGTCGACCTCTGCGCCCCATACCTCGGCATAGAGCTGTTCTCGGAACGACTTCTTGACATTTTGCACGAGGCCTTCCTCAACGTAGGCAGCTTCCGCACGCCTAAGGCGAGCAGCTCCTTGGGTGGAGCCGTTTCCCAGACTCCTAGCCGCAGAACGATCAGCTTTCTCGGCAATGAACAAGTCGTCAATTACGACCCCGCCTGCGA